GTAACATCATTTTGAGAAGAAATGACGCTCTGAGTGAAGGCAATGGAAATAAGTCACTCTGACTTTTTTGGGTTATCCCAGGTTCTCTACACATATGTTGTTATGTATGATACTCTATGTAACTGTATTTGTGTATACCTGAATAAACTTACATACATACGAAAGGAATAATTTTCTACAGTTACCCCCAGTAACACATTTTCTCTTATGTTAGATTAGAGAAAATGTTATTCTTGCCGTCACTTGTACAAGTTATCTGGCTACCACATCTCATATTTATGTTTATTTATTCTATTGTGGGGTGTATTTATCATCTTTTTATGTTATGTATCATGTTTATTATATAATTTTGAAAAAAAATATCATGGATGGATTAATGAAAATGTGTATATTAACGTAATATACGACATTTAATGAGACTCGGTGATTATTATTATTATCATCATCATTTCTAATATGGCATCACTTGTGTAAGTCGTCTGCTACCACATCTCACATTTATGTTTATTTATTCTACTGTGGGGTGTATTTATCTTATTTATATGTTATGCATCGTGTTTATTACATAATTTTGAAAAAAATATCGTAGATGGATTAATGAAAATGTGTATATTAACGTAATATACGACATTTAAATGAGACTCGATGATTATTATCATTACTAATATGACGTCTGGAGACATAAGACACTCTTACTGATTTTAATGTGTACCTGCACGCCAGCACAGTATGTAAGCTTATTTAGGTACAGGTATACATAAGTATAATTATCAGAGTATATATAAAATACGAAATAACTTTTAAAAACATTTGAAATTTTTGAGTTTCCAGACAAAATGGAGAGACTTAGTGCTTACTGAGTTCACGGAGAATGTAAACAAACCGGGTGGGGCGCGGTGACCGTATCAGAAAGTAAGGTGGGGGAGCCGTATAGCGAGTTTTGGTCATAATTTGAAATGACTGTATTAGCGGAACGCCGTAAAGTGAAACGCCGTAAAGCGGGGCCCTACTGTACATACTCACACTCTCTGCTCAGGTAGATCTGTGTGTGATGAATGGTTTTGAAAACCGACAAGTTGAAGAATTGAGACACTAATACAGTGGACCCCCGGTTAACGATATTTTTTCATTCCAGAAGTATGTTCAGGTGCCAGTACTGACCGAATTTGTTCCCATAAGGAATATTGTGAAGTAGATTAGTCCATTTCAGACCCCCAAACATACACGTACAAACGTACTTACATAAATACACTTACATAATTGGTCGCATTGGGAGGTGATCGTTAAGCGGGGGTCCACTGTATATGGGAATCTTTATTGAAGAAACGTGTGTGTGACTTGATAAAGCCCACTGTGTGGGCGAATGTAGTCAAGTTTATTTTTCCATTGTGGTGGTATTTTATACCATTTATCTTCATAGAACCTTTCACACTGGACTTGGGAATATTTCTGCAAATCACTGCTGATGTTTTCAGCCTGAGTCTGGTGATGTTGGATAGAAATCATTTGTAAGAAAGGGCCTTTTCTTGTGTAGCTGCACGTCTAACAGGTTACCAGTGTCTGTTAGGAGTCAGGAATCTGTTCCTGCTTTAAATCTTAGTGTGTATAATGATAACGATCATACTGTCACTCTTCAGTATAAACTGTATTCTTTCAGCTACCGTATTTATAGCTTGTCATACAAGTGCTTGAGCGTTTTTCGAAAGAAGGAACTCAAGAATTACAAAGTCCCAAATGATTATTATTAATGGTATTTTTAACCCTTTGACTGTCGCGGCCGTATATATACGTTTTACGAGGTGCCGTGTTTGACGTATATATACTCATAAATTCTAGCGGCTTCAAATCAAGCAGGAGAAAGCTGGTAGGCCCACATGTGAGAGAATGGGTCTGTGTTGTCAGTGTGCACCATATAAAAAAAATCCTGGAGCACACAGTGCATAATGAGAAAAAAAAAACTCCGACCGTTTTTTTTAATTAAAATGCCGACTTTGTGGTCTATTTTCGTATAGTATTTATGGTTGTATTCTCGTTTTCTTGGTCTCATTTGATAGAATGGAAAGCATATTACAGAAATAGAGGTGTTTTTGATTGATTTTACTATAAAAAGAACCTAGAAATGGAGCTCAAATTAGAGGAAATGTTTGATTTTTGCCAATGTTCAAAAGTAAACAAATGATGCCATTGTCCAATAAATGTCCAACTAGCCATTCTAATATGCAGTCATGAATGGGTTGATGTTATTTATACAATTATTACAGTATTGCAGTAGTCTGCATAATAGTAAGTCTAACATTTTTTGTTTGAATAAAAATTCAAAATAGAAAGCAAGAGTAATATCAGAGGTGCCTGGAGACGTGACTGATGAACAAAGAAAACGTTATTTTAGAGCCTGGAATGTCTGCATTGTTCATTCTGGACCTTATTTTGAAATTGTCATATTTTTTAGTTTTCGTGAAATTGGCCAAATTGCAAATTTCTGACCACATTATTAGGTAGTTGTAATCAGTAAATGGGCAGTTTCCTGTACTCAATCGATAGAAAAAATGGAGTTCTAAAGAAATAGCTATGAGGTTGGGCGACTGGAACAATGGAATTAGCCGAAAATAGGGCTCAAAGTGGGCGAAATCGCCGATTTGTAAACAGCGCCGAGGTCGCTAACTTCGCGAGAGCATAATTCCGTCAGTTTTCCATCAAATTTCGTTTTTTTGGTGTCATTACAATCGGGAAAAGATTCTCTATCATTTCATAAGAAAAAATAATTTTTTTTTTTTAAATTTTGCGACACCAGGAGACACCTCAGGATTGGGGGTTGCGACAGTCAAAGGGTTAACACACTGGCTGTCTCGCACCGAGGTAGGATGACCTGAAAAAGAAATGCAAGTTTTTCTTCTTCCTCCGACAAACCAGCCATACCTACCAGGGCAGGGTGGCCCAAAAGGAAGAAACAAAAGTTTCTCCTTTTAAATTTAGTACAGCTGACCATCACGAGTCCGGCATCATCGGGATCTGTAGGGTGCCAATTTTAAAATAGGGTCCAGAATAAACAGTGCAGACATTCCTGGCACTAAAATAACATTTTCTCTGTTCATTAGTCATGTCTCCAGGCCCCTCTTTCAATTTCAATTTTTAATTTTTATTCACACAAAAAATAGAAGATTTACTGTTAAGTAGATTACTGCATTATTGAGATAATTGTATAAATAATGTCAACCCATTCGTGACCGCGTATTAGACTGGCCAGGTGGACACTTACTGAACAGTGATATCATTTATTTACTCTTGAACATAGGCAAAAATCTAACATTCCCGCTACTTTGAACTCAATTTCAAGGTACTTTCCTTCGTGAAACCAATCAAAATCGTATCTATTTCTGTAATATATCTTCCATTCTATCAAATGCGACCCAAAAAATGAGAATACAACCATAAAAACCATACGAAAATACACCGCAGTCGCTGTTTAACACCAAAAAAAAGTCACAGTATTTTTTCATTATGCATTGCGTGCTGCAGGATTTTTTTATATATAGTGCACACTTACCACACAGACCTATTCTCTCACATGTAGGCCCAAATTTACTGGTCACAGCTTATTTGAGTGAAATGAGCTCATGGCAACCAATAGTGGCTTGAAAGCCACCTTATCATTTATGGACAATGTACGGTGTACGTGCTTTACACGACGAGAAGCAATTCTTTTTTCGTTGGTACCGTGGATAGGGCTAAAAGTGAGCAGGTTATAACAATAAATGGAGAAAAAGAAACTAGAATAACTTATGCTGCAAGTAGCGCCACTAAACAGTAGTGGCAGGTTGGCATGGCAACCCCAGAAATTTGAAATTATGCTAGCCGAAAATAGTGGCGCCACGGATTACTAATGGAACAGGATTACTGATTGCTGGATTAGTGATGGCTGACCTGTAATACATACAGAAGGTGTTATTAGCCCCTTGCTCCTGGCAACATGCATGGCTTATGGAGGAAGAATTCTTCTCTTCTTCCCCACTATTATGATTATTTTTATAAATCAAAGGTAATTTACTGTGATGTTAGGTATGTACCAGTACCACCGCAGGTGTGAAGCAAATAAGATTTCAAATTTTAATTTAAAAAAAAATAATTGGGAACCACTGTTCCAAAGATGAGATGTAAGTTTATGTCTGTACGAGTCACTTGCTTGTTCAGTGCAGACTGACATGTCTTTACGAGTCGCTTGCTTGTTCAGTGCAGAGACTGACATGTCTTTACGAGTCGCTTGCTTGTTCAGTGCAGAGACTGACATGTCTTTACGAGTCGCTTGCTTGTTCAGTGTGGAGACTGACATGTCTTTACGAGTCGCTTGCTTGTTCAGTGCAGAGACTGACATGTCTTTACGAGTCGCTTGCTTGTTCAGTGCAGAGACTGACATTTCTTTACAAGTCAATTACTCGTTCACTGTAAAGACTGACATGTCTGTATAAGTTGCTTGCTCACTGCAGAGACTGACATGTCTTTACGAGTCGCTTGTTCAGTGCAGACTGATATGTCTGTACGATTCACTTGCCTGTTCAGTGCAGAGAGTGACATGTCTGTACGAGTCACCTGTCTGTTCAGTACAGAGAATGACATAATATTAATGTCTGCTCCTTGTCCTGGACACTAAGTGACCCGCAATGAAGAATTCTTCCTCCGTAAGTCATGAATGTCATAAGAGGCAACTAAAATGCTGGCATCAAGGGGATAGTAATACCCTCTCCTGTATACATTAGTAAATGTAAAAGGAAGACAAACTTTTTTTTTTTTTTTTTTGGGGGGGGGGGGGGGTAGATGGCAGGTGTATTAAAAAAATATATAGTATATATAAATAAATAAATACGTTAATGATAATGAGTACAAGCATTGGCCTTCCAACCTCTAGAACAAATCTGGCTAACTAGTTTCCACGGCTTCCTTCCTAAAAGCTGCATTATAATATTTAATTGCTCAGGTAACAAGTAATGAAGAAGCTGTTGACTTACACTGGGATCTTGGATGATGTTAATGCTCTCTCAACAGTCCTCAGGTTCTCTCTGTCAGTACCAGATACTGTCAGCTTGAGGCCGGACACTATTGCTTTGTATATGGCCCCTGACGTCTTCACAGTCATGCAGTTCACAAATATTCTTCTTATCTTGTTAACCTAAAGATAAAACATTTGGCTACTTTACTTTACAGGAAGTCTTCAACTTACAAACACACTGGGGACCTACTGAATTGTTTATAATATTTGTAATACAGTAAGTCTTCAACTTACAAACACACTGGGGACCTTTTGTATTGTGTATAATAAAGACAATGATATTATACACAATAATGATATACGTAATAATGATAATATACACAACACAGAAAATTCTCAGTGTGTTTGTAAGTCAAGAACTTTGCTGTATTGATAGAATGAGTTGTGGAGTATAGTGTCTCTACTCTATAGGAGGGGTTTGGGATATTTGCTGTTTAGAGAGACATCTCAGCTGCCATATTTGTGCATCTCTGGCAAGACTGATAGTGTGAATGGTGAAAATGTTTGTTTTCAGGGTACCCGTCAGTGGGAGACGACCAGCATGTTAAAGAAAATGAAAAATATGTCAGTGATATATGAGCACATTAGGAAGAGTTCAAGAGAAACCTCTAATTTTTACTAAATTTTTTTAATGAAAAAAAAAAAAAAACTTTTCTCCCTTCCCCTGCCCAAAATAAACTACCTATAGATTCTTAAGAGTAAAAGATAATAGAATAGAATAGTTAGACAAACTGAATAGTTGGATGAACTAATAGTTGGGTGAACTGAATAAACGTACTAGCTGGATGTACTGCATATATCCTCTGCAGACTGACGGACTGATTCCTCAAACTCCCCCTCACCTTCCACCATTCTTTGTACTGGACTGATGAAGCCACTGACTGGAGAAGCATTTCCACAAATAGAGATACTCAAATGCTGAGGTGTTAGGTTGCTAGTGGTTCAGCAAATCTTCAATCTGCAACTAGCCCTGGTACAGTGTGCAATAACATTGTCTCAGCTTAGGGTTCATTCTGGACCACCAAGGACATCACTATTCCTTACACCAAGACGTGCATGCACATGTGCACACACACACCTAGCCAAGCATGTAAAGAAACTAGAGAAAGTGCAAAGGTTTGCAACAAGACTAGTCCCAGAGCTAAGAGGTATGTCATATGAGGAGAGGTTAAGGGAAATCAACCTGACGACACTGGAGGACAGGAGAGATAGGGGGGACATGATAACGACTTACAAAATACTGAGAGGAATTGACAAGGCGGACAAAGACAGGATGTTCCAGAGACTGGACACAGCAACACGGGGACACAGTTAGAAGCTGAAGACACAGATGAATCAAAGGGATGTTAGGAAGTATTTCTTCAGCCACAGAGTAGTCAGGAAGTGGAATAGTTTGGAAAGCGATGTAGTGGAGGCAGGATCCATACATAGCTTTAAGCAGAGGTACGATAAAGCTCATGGTTCAGGGAGAGTGACCTAGTAGTGACCAGTGAAGAGGCGGGGCCAGGAGCTTGGACTCGACCCCTGCAACCTCAACTAGGTGAGTACAACTGAGTACACACACACACACACACACACACACACACAGTAGCAATCAGCGAAGAGGCGGGGCCAGGAGCTATGACTCGACCCCTGCAACCACAAATAGGTGAGTACAAATAGGTGAGTACAGAAAATTGCTGACAAGTTAAAAGTTTGAGGGGGAAAAAAAAAGACATTTTAAAGTGTTTATGTATGTAATGAGAATAAAAACAGACGAGAACTTATCGAAGTACAGAGAGCTGAAATCAGAGAAGATTATCAACATCTAACATTATGTACACTACTTTTTTTTTTTTTTTTTTTTTTTCAACAAGTCGGTCGTCTCCCACCGATAGTTGTGATCTAAGTTGTTTTAGTACCAGGCACACATGCAGAGCAGCAACAACTAGCGTCATCACCAACTGCAATATTCACTATAAATTTCTACAAATATTTTTTAACTCAATTTATTTTGTCTTTAAACACTACAGATATGAAAATATTATACGTCAGATTAACACAACTCACGCAGGTTATGTTCCTGAAAAATACACTGTTTAACCCATTCAGCATTCACCATGTACAATTACATCACTGAAACCAAGGTTCCGCACATGGTTCTGTCACGAGCTCAGTTCACTCAGATGAATTGTGAGTGGCAAATTTTGGCTTAGATATGAGAGCAAATCCTGTCGTGATGGGAAAAAACAGCTCTGACAGTGTGTTTATTTTAACCCGTAAATGGTCCAAACGTATATATACGTTTTTACCCCTAGTGCCCCAAACGTATATATACGTTTCATGTGTCCTACATTTAACATTGCCACAATAAGCCCGAGTCGCCTAGACATGTGAGAATGGGTGTGAGCACTCACTGTGCACCATATTAAAATAATTGGGGATGCCTGGGTACCATATGCTCTTTTTTCCTATTAAAAACAACAATTTTTTTTTCTCAAAAAAGTTGGGGCAGTACGGTAGTGAACATATATATACGTTTGGACCGTTTACGGGTTAAAACAGCAACACTGAGGTGTTTTCTAGGATAGATTTGTACAGTTTCATTATAGCCGTTTCTTGGTATCATATGACAGAATGGAAGACACTACTGAAACAGATGATTTTGGCTGCTCACAAGAACCAGAAGTACCTTCAAACTGGGCTCAAAGTAGCGGAAATATTCAATTTTCGAATATTTTCCTGTGGACGGGTAAGGCCCGCCTATTCCCCCTAGTCTCTCTTATGGGTTTTTAATAAATCTGATTCAATTATTGGGATGCTGTAAATCATGACTAAACATTTTTGTCATATTTTATTAACTGAGAAATAGAGGAAATCTATTTTTATGTGATTATTATGAATTCAAAATGGAAGGCAAGTGTAATATAGAAGAGGTCTGGGGATGTAATTAACAGAGAAAATGTTGTTTTAGTGCCAGGAATGTCTACTTTTTTATTTTGAATTATTTTTAACCCTTAAACGGTCCAAACGTTTATATACAGTGGACCCCCGCATAACGATTACCTCCGAATGTGACCAATTATGTAAGTGTATTTATGTAAGTGCGTTTGTACGTGTATGTTTGGGGGTCTGAAATGGACTAATCTACTTCACAATATTTCTTATGGGAACAAATTCGGTCAGTACTGGCACCTGAACATACTTCTGGAGTGAAAAAATATCGTTAACCGGGGGTCCACTGTACGTTCACTCGCGTAGCGCCCCAAATTTTTTGAGGAAAAAAAAATCTTTTCTTTTAAAAGGAAAAAAGAGCATATGGTACCCAGGCATCCCCAATTATTTTAATATGGAACACAGTGAGTGCGCACACCCATTCTCTCATGTCTAGGTGACTCAGGCTTATTGTGGCAATGTTGAATGAATGGCAAAGAAAACGTATATATACGTTTGGGGCACTACGCGCGTGAACGTATATACAGTGGACCCCCGCATAACGATGGCATCGCATAGCGATTTTTCCGCATAACGATTACTTTTATCGCAAAATTTTTGCCCCGCATACCGATTAAAAACCCGCATACCGATTTTCGTCCGAGACGCGTCCAATGTGCCCTCACATGTGCCGGCCGTCCCATTGTTTACCAGCCAGCCTCCGCGGTAACATCCAAGCATACACTCGGAATATTTCGTATTATTACAGTGTTTTCGGTGGTGTTTCTGGAAATAAGTGACCATGGGCCCCAAGAAAGCTTCTAGTGCCAACCCTGTGGTAAAAAGGGTGAGAATTAGTATGGAAATTATAGAAAAGATTTTGAAGGGTTTGGGGCTAACCCTGAGAAGCCTATGCCAGTTGTGGAATCCATTGTGCCTACTTCAAAGATTAAGGAAATGTGTGCAGAGTGGTTTGAACTGCAAACCTTTATAGATGAAAATCACCCTGACACAGCTGTTGCAAGCCGTGCTTGTGACTATTTCAATGACAATGTTATGGCCCATTTTAGGAAAGTCTTGAAGAAACGGGAGGTACAGAGCTCTATGGACAGATTTGTTGTGCGACAGAGGTCCAGTGACTCTGAAGCTGGTCCTAGTGGCATTAAAAGAAGAAGGGAAGTAACCCCAGAAAAGGACTTGCTACCTCAAGTCCTAATGGAAGGGGATTCCCCTTCTAAACAGTAAGAAGATAATGCTCTCCCCTCCTCCCATCCCATCAATCATCACCAGATCTTCAATAAAAGTAAGTGTCATGTAATTGTGCATGCCTTTTTCAGTTTGTGTGTATTAAAATTAACATTTCATGTGGTAAAAAAAAATTTTTTTCATACTTTTGGGCGTCTTGCACGGATTAATTTTATTTATATTATTTCTTATGGGGAAAATTAATTCGCATAACGATTATTTCGCATAACGATGAGCCCTCTTGCACGGATTAAAATCGTTAACCGGGGGTCCACTGTATACGTTTGGACCGTTTAAGGGTTAAATTGGCATTTCTTCAGTTTTGTGTAAAATTGGCCAACTTCCATGTACTTTATTGGGCAGTTGTAATGTTAAATGGGAGGTTTCTTGTGCTTAAGTGGTAGAGTGGAAAGCATACTAGAGACTAGATAAGAATTTAATTAAACAGAACTCAAAAGTGGGTGAAATCGTCGATGAATTACGCCCAGACTGCTAACTTTGCACGTGCCTAATTTCATATTTTTTTTCACAAAATTTCTTACTTTTGGTGTCAGTACTTTCAGAAAAAGATTCTCCACCATCCCATTTTTTTCTTTTACAGGACACTGGAATAAATTAATTTCAGGAGTTGATAGGTATAGATTAATAATTTCCTGACTTAAGAACTATAAAATTATAGAGTTGCCTCTGCAGTGCTTTTTTTTAATAACAATGGTCATAAAGCCATAATTTTTAAAGGGGTGGACCGTAAGCCACGGAAGCCTCGGTCAGATGACAAAATCTACCATGGGTCATTATATCGACTAAACCCGTCAGTACATTTGTCCTGTTTTCATGGAGACCTACATAACCTAACCTCTCGCAAGTGCTGCACCCTGCAGGAGGCTGGGAGACTGCAGTCTGGAGAGAACATCTCAACTATATTTATATGCCTCTGTGTGAGCAGTGATGGAGTGAAGAGATGGTGTGAAAATGTTGCTTCTTTTCCAGGATCACTGTATGTCAGTGGGAGAGGAGGTGTGTATAAAAGTTTTTTCTACAAACAAAGTTGATGCTGCATGTCCTCCAGTGAGGGTTGATGGGGTGGGAATGTACTTTAGCTAAAAAAACAATTACATGTGGGACGGTGCGGTTTACGGATAAATTATTTCTTAGACAGAAGTTGTTCAGGTGCCAGTATGATATGGAACTTTGCCTAGGAATTTTGGGAATTAGATTAGTCCATTTCAGACCCCCAAACATACACGTACAAACGCACTTACATAAATACACTTACATAATTGGTCGCATTGGGAGCTGATCGTAAAGCGGGGGTCCACTGTATTTTAACCCTTTTAGGAGTGCTCTTGCGGAATTTCCATTAAGGAGTGCCATAGTAGGCAGACCTGAAACTTCCCCTATATGCATTAGGAAACTCCACTGTCTTAGCACTGTGGGGGAGGGTGATGGGGTGTAAACAAAGCCTCCCATGCAGGAAACACAAAGAAAATGAACAACACTTACTTGTAAGCTGTCAAGAATGTAATTTAAAGAAGCAGTTTTGCCAGTGCCTGGAGGACCTGAGACGTAGGGGTGAGGCCAGGTATGGTGTTAGAAATTTGGGTTTGTGTAAGAAAATTCCGATTTCATTGTTTTGGCTTCTATCGACAATCAGTACTGGTCGAGTGCCTGTGTTCAAACACTGAAGCACTGCCAGGTAAGCTGTCACTGCAGAACAAAAATTACAATAAATAATTTCACTTGATGTGTTGTACTCATTTGAACACTTGGGGTAACTTTATAAAGGAACAATTTTGCCACAGTGGCTTAATCGGTCAATTTACAAAGTAGAGTGGTAAGATAGGAAGATGTTTAGGGAATCAGTTAGTCAACTTGGAAGTAATTGGGTTAATAGCTACTATCTTTTACATTAGATGATTATTTTGTACATTAGCTGATATTTAATTCAGTATAACTCAAAGAATTAATCTGGGTTTTGGTTTAGGAAGGTTATGGGTACAGTTTTTTACATGACATGACAGGACGTTTCTAATTGTGAAGTCAAATTCTGGAAGCAGCGACTATATGCAGTAATAGTTTCATAGCTAATTTCTAAGAAAAAATTCTATCTGAAAAATAACTCAAAGAAATTGAGAGTGAGTTGCTAAATTGGAGAAACAGAAAATACAATGGGACTACTTAATGATTAACAAAACAAACAAGCAGGAATACAATCTCTTCAAAGTTTGATTACGAATGAGAATAAGAATACGTACACAGTTTTATAACAATTTTGAGGTTGAAGGAATTCAAAGAAATGTTCCAGCACAGGTAACTGTTACTGGCATCACATGAGGAAAAAGAAGTTTTGAAGGAGCTGGCAGACAGACAGACTCTGAAGTTATCAAGAAGGAAGTTCCAGATTTTGGGTTCTTTTATACGCACTGAATTTTTACAAAGGTTAAGTCGGAGATGAGGAGTATCATAGAAATTTTTGTGTCTAGTGTTGTGACTAAGTTCCGTGGCAATAATCAAGAAAGTGTTTCAGGTCAGGATTGATATGTGGAAAGCAAAAGAGTAAGAGTGAATGTTGTGTATATTAAGTAGGTTTAGGCTTTTGAAAAGTTGTGGGGTCTGTTGTCCGGCAATAGACTGAAGACTGGTACAGTGTGTTGTCTGGCAGTAGACTGAAGACTGGTACAGTGTGTTGTCTGGCAGTAGACTGAAGACTGGTACAGTGTGTTGTCTGGCAGTAGACTAAAGGGACTGGTACAGTGTGTTGTCTGGCAGTAGACTGAAGACTGGTACAGTGTGTTGTCTGGTAGTAGACTGAAGACTGGTACAGTGTGTTGTCTGGTAGTAGACTGAAGACTGGTACAGTGTGTTGTCTGGCAGTAGACTGAAGACTGGCACAGTGTGTTGTCTGGTAGTAGACTGAAGACTGGTACAGTGTGTTGTCTGGTATTAGACCGTGTGATCATTTGTACTGTCACTTTTTGTTGAGTTATTATTGGCTTAAGGTGATTTGCAGCAGTGGATCCCAAGGCAGACATAGCATAGATAAGGTATGGATAGATAAGAGAGTAGCATAATGTGATTAGTGCTGTTTGAGGTATATAGCAGCATGTCTTGGAGAAGATGCCAACTGATCTGGATACTTTTTTATATCAGATCAGTGTCACTCCACTGCTGACAGTGCAGCAGTGGAGTGACACCCGTCTTACACCATGTTTCAAGGAGTTTCACGTATACTCCAGCATGTCTAAAACGTTGCTGGGACCTATAAATGCTTTGTATATCTTTCTAGATAATAGTATGTGACCAAGGCAAGTGAAAATGTTCACCTGTCAGTGTGTTTGTGACTATCTGAGTACTATTTCAGTACCTAATATTAGTGTCAGAACAAAGATTGGCTATAAAATCAGAACTACGTACTACTATAAAATGTAATTATCAGAACACAAAAATTATATAATAAAAAAAAGAGAGAAAAAAGTATATCAGTAACACTTCTGCAAGCGGCAAAACTCCATGTTGCCATCAGGCGAACCTCCAACGTCAGCTTTGAGCGGCCTTATATCTCCATAAGTACTGACTAATTTTTTTTTCTTATTGCACGCAGAAAACTGCCCTCTTTAATTTTTTTTTTTTCAAAATATTCGGACCACTGGCATTGCAAACGTAGATCTACGTTTGGACAGTTAAGGGGTTAAAAAAGTGGAGGATTGTGTTGTCTAGCTGTGGACTGTGTGATCATATGCATTGCAGCATTTTGTTGGGTTATTATTGACTTCAGGTGATTTGATGTTGTGGAACCCTAGGCACACAACATAGGTGAGGTAGGGGTAGATCAGAGAATAGTATAGTGCAAATAACGCTGTTTGTAGTACATAGTAACATATCTTTGAGAGGATGCCTACTGTTTTAGATACTTTTTTTTTTTTGTTGTGTTGGATATGAGTGCTGAATTTCAAGTTGCTGTCAAGGTGCAAACCCAGAAATTTTGCCCTCATTGTATTTAGCAATAAGAGTATTGTCAATCGTAATGTTCTGTTGGGCATCACCAATTCTGCTCCCAAAGATAATATACAAGATTTTATCTATATTAAGTTTAAGTTTATTGGCAGTCATCCAGGTTGATATTTTTATTAGTTCTTCATTTACAATAGTGGCAAGTGGGGCAAGAGTTTAAAGGGGGGAGATGACAAAAGTTATGTCGTCAGCAAAGAGAACAAGTCTAAGTTGCTGTGATACATGTGGAAGATCGTTGATGTATAAAAGGAAAAGGAGGGGGCCAAGAATGCTTTCCTGTGGTGCACCAGTGTTCAGGGGTCTTGCTGAGGAGGTTGTGTCATTAATAGAAACATATTGCTGTCTATTAGTAAGGTAAGACTTAAAATTGAGACACACGTGCAACATCTGGGTATCTTTATTGTAGACATTCGCCATCCAGAAGCTTTATCAATACAAATTCCAGGACATAACTTGAAGACAGGAGAACTATGTACAGAAGATGAGGTAATCAGTCCCTGTCCTCCTGTCTTCAAGTTATGTCCTGGAATTTGTATTGATAAAGCCACTGGATGGCGAAACATCTACAATAAAGATACCCAGATGTTGCACATGTGTCTCAATTTCATCTTGTCAGTATTGTATACCATTCTTGTACAAGGTAAGACTTGATATAGTTAGTGTATGACCTCATATACCATAATGATCAAGCTTGTGGAGTAAGATGCTGTGGTCTATTGTATCACAAGCTTTCTTACGGTCAATGAGAGATGACAAAAGTTTTGTCATTGGCAAATAGAAAAACAATCAACAAAGCAATTTACTTTTATTTAAGAGAATTTTGTCTCTGAATAAACTGAATGCAAGATATATGCATGAATAATAAATTAAGAAATTATGGGGAATGCTGAATTTGTGTTAAAATTATGTTTCTAGGGTAGATTAGCCATATTAAAACTGTATCGAGGGCATATTGGGCACTGACATGAATAAATTCTGCATTTTTGTCAGGCTGAAATACACTCAGATAATGGAAATAAGACTATTTTGAAAACTTGTTAAAAAATGATTACTCCAATCACAATTATATCACAAGGAAGATTTATGCCAGTGGGATAGGTCTAATTAACTTCCTGCAAAATTAATAGTCAAATAAATTAATAGTAAAAGTTGATGAATGTAGTAGTAACTAGTTATTTTAAACTATCGCCGATATAAAAAATTCACAATACTGTAGGTGGAACAATTCACAAAAATGCCACTCATAGGAAACTTATATAAGACCAAGTTTCGATCGGTCTCAGACAATTGTCCAGTTGCAACTTGACAATGGTCCAAGGGAGACCAAAACATCATCCTAAGTTTTCCTTCCTAGGTGCGGGTCATTTGTGAACCTTAATACATAATAAGAACTTACCGTCAGGTTTAAAAAGTCTGACAGCTACATCCGTTCTGGCATTGGCTGAACTCTCAAGAGAAAGTTTTGACACCAGCGAGGCCGGGCTGTTGACTTTGAAAGGAGACTGTGCCAGCTTTCTCGGGCTTCTACGAGGGCTGAGGACATTTTCTTGGTTGAACTTGCGTGGTGACCGTCTTACACTGTCATCGTCAAAGTGTTTCCTAGGTGATCTCAAGGATCGGTTTTCATCAAGACGTTTGAGTGTTTTCACTGGACTGTTCAAATTATGGCACTTCACTGTACATTTTCTAGGGCTCTGAAAAATCACTCTGTTCACACTTTCTGAAGACTTACAGGTACTTTTCACACTTTCTGAAGATTTACCAGTACTGTTCACACTTTCTGAAGATTTACCAGTACCTTTCACACTTTCTGAAGATTTACCAGTACTGTTCACACTTCCTGACAACTTACAGGTATTGGTTATACTAGATGATGATAGTGGATATTTTTGAGGTGTACAGACACTTGTTAATTTAGGCTCTGCAGTGCTGGATGACCTACTTGGAGAGGCATCCTGAAATGGGCCTCAAGGTTTACAACTTTGTGTAGTCTTTTTAGGAGACAAGGGACAAGTGTTTTCCTCACTTGTACTATCTGAGATCAGTTTACGACAAACTTTAGATGGCGTAAGATGGATACTATCCAGAGGTAGCTGGTGCAGGGTGACAACCAGTCTCTTGGTAAGACTCAAATCATTTTCAGAATCTGAAAAATAATTATAAACATTTCTTGAAATAAGCATCAATGACATGAATGAAAATGCCATACACTGTATCCAAAAACCAACTGAAGACAGTATGCACATTTTCCTATAAATAAAATGTTCAATAACTAAGAAAAAATGCAAATCCTTACACAAACCAAACAACGTTTCTGGTCATTATGGACGACACAGATCAAACACAAATGACTGAAACATTTGTTAATCTGATACTTGATAATGAGTCATGAGTCAGTGTTCTAGTGGCCAGTTCATGGTGAGTCAGCATCGTGGCCAGTTCATGGTGAGTCAGCATCCGAACCAAACAACTTTATTTCCACAACCTGGTGTACTGTACAGTATACAATTACGCTAACTGATATATATAAACTACTTAATGTAACGAGGTTCCTATCTGTAACTTTGAAATCCCCACCTAGGCCTATTTCACATAGACCTCATTAGGTGGCCCTGTACCAAGTTAGTGTGAGGCCATGTTGAAAGGACTCTCTCTCACTCTAGCTCCAGCTGACCCTAGAACACCTCACAATTAGTCTTGGCATTGGCTCACCCTCACCCTTGTCTACCTAGTGTAACCCACAGACAATAAACCATGCTCTAGTCTACCCGAGTTTACACTGTCCTGCATTACTTCTAACTCACCAGATTGCACAATATCTACTCAGCAAACAGAGACGAGGAACACTGACCATACCAGCTACCATTACACAACACCATTACGTTTATAGAGCCCTTTATTATGCAAAGCATTTCGTGCAGCCTTAAATCTAACTTATAATTCTAAACAATGAGACATATATAGTACATGAGAATAATAATATTTATTTATACTAGTACATATACTGAAGACATTCAGTAATATAATAAAAGATTATTAAAAAAAAATTAATGAAGCTAGCTACCTGAATTGACACAAGGAAAAATGCCTTTCTAATAATAAATAAGAGTTGAAGGAAGGATGGAACAACAGAAGACAATATTGGATGAAAGAAAGGATTTCAGGATTTATTTGGCAGAAATTGTAGGTAGGGTCACTTGAATAATGTGTGTAAGGAAGAACCAAAAATGTATCTAGGATGTATCAAAATCGTGTAGCGACAAAAAAAGGAACAGTAAAGAAACAGAAGTCACAAAGATAAATCTAGGACAAAGACAGTTAAGGGGCTGAAAGAAAATAGTTCAGTAGGACGAAAGAGTGTGAGTTTACATGCTGTGGAAGGATACAGTTTTTTTTCCAAGGGCTGAACAATTGGCTTCTAATTAATCAAAAAAGGTTCCTTTTAAGACTGTCCCGTGAGGTTTTTCATCTCAACCCTTATCCAGAGATTGGGTCAAGACATTAAAGCGGCACACGGAACCATGTTCTAGGAAGGTAACTGTATAGGATAACTGGAAGATAAACTTTTCAGGAAAGGCTGTTTTTCTGGTACACTACAATAACTTAGAGGTATTACAAGTATTCTTTGTAGTTAAGTGAAATAATAGTAACTCGTGTAGAAAAGACCTCATGTTAATTTTGGAAGATTAGATGAATCTACCAAAATTAACAAACTCAGCAGTGCTAAACAAATGTTAGATAATTTTAAGGTAAATTCTAGTAAGCCTATTTTCAGTTTTATTGCCACAATTCATGTGAAAAATGATGCTTTCCTAAGTTCGTGAGAGCGAGGCAGCTACCATTTTTTCAAAATGATTGAAGAAGAATTAGAAAAACTGGTAAAGAAAGGGATTACTGAGCTTATTTTCCATAGAGTGGTCTGCACCTATTGTATCAGTATTATAGATGGCCTCTAAAGTCTATGAGTATATGTGAGGATTTTAACCCTTAAATGGTCCAAACGTACATACACGTTTTTTCAACATCTGAAAGTACGTAAAAAAAGGTCGATCTTTTTTGTTTTACATTTGAAAACGTGTAAAAAAAACTTTTATCTACATTTTTTTTGTTATATTTGAAAATACGTAAAAAAAAAGTAGATCTACTTTTGTAGCGCTACGAATTTGAACGTCAATCTGTTTGGACCGTTTAAGGGTTAAATATGTAAATCAACGTAAGTTTGCCGAGTATACTAGGCAAGGTGTACGGTAGGGTTATTATTGAAAGAATTAGAGGTAAGACAGACAGCAGGATTGCACATGGGTAGGGGATGTGTAGATCAAGTGTTTACATTGAAGCATACATGTAAACAGTATTTAGATAGAGGTAAGGAACTTTTCATTGCATTTATGGATTTAGAAAAAGCATATTATAGGGTGGATAGGGGAGCAATGTGGCAGATGTTGCAAGTATATGGAATAGGTAGTAAGTTACTAAATGCTGTAAAGTTTTTATGAGGATAGTGAGGCTCAGGTTAGGGTGTGTAGAAGAGAGGGAGAATACTTCCCAGTAAAAGTAGGTCTTAGACAGGGATGTGTAATGTCACCATGGTTGTTTAATATATTTATAGATGGGGTTGTAAAAGAAGTAAATGCTGTGTTGGGGAGAAGGGTGGTTTTAAATTATGGGGAATCAAATACAAAATGGGAGTTGACACAGTTACTTTTTGCTGATGATACTGTGCTTTTGGGAAATTCTAAAGAAAAGTTGCAGAGGTTAATGGATGAGTTTGGGAGTGTGTGTAAAGGTAGAAAGTTGAAAGTGAATATAGATAAGAGTAAAGTGATGAGGGTATCCAACGATTTAGATAAAGAAAAACTGGATATAACATTGGAGGGAGTATGGAAGAAGTGAATCTGTTCAGATATTTGGAAGCTGATTTGTCAGCAGATGGATTTATGAAGGATGAAGTTAAACACAGAATTGGTGAGGTAAAAAAAAGTGAGTGGTGCTTTGAGGTATCTGTGGAGACAAAACACATTATCCATGGAGGCAAAGAAGAGAATGTACGAGAGTATAGTGGTACCAACACTTTTATATGGGTGTGAAGAATAGGTTGTAAATGTTGCAGCGAGGAGGAGGTTGGAGGCAGTGGAGACGTCATGTCTGAGGGCAATGTGTGGTGTACATATTATGCAGAGAATTCATAGTGTGGAAATTAAGGTGGTGTGGAGTTACTAAAAGTATTAGTCAGAGGGCTAAAGTGGGGTTATTGAGGTGGTTTGGTCATTTAGAGAGAATGGAACAAAGTAGAATGGTCTGGACAGAGTATAAATCTGTAAGGAAAAGAAGGTGGGGTAGGTGCCATCCTAGAAATGGTTGGAGGAGGGAGGTGTTGTAGTGTGAGCAAGGTAATATTTTGTGAAGGGATTCATGGAAACCAGTTAGCCGGACTCAAGTCCTGGAGGTGGGAAGTACAATGCCTGCACTTTAAAGGAGGGGGTTTGGGATATTGGCTGTTTGGAGTGACATCTAAACTGTCATATCTGACTGCCTCTACAAAGACAGTGATTGTGTGTTTAATGATGAGTTTTTTCTTTCTTTTTGGGTTTTTCTTTTTGGGTCACCCTGCCTCGGTGGGAAATGGCAGACATGCTAAAAAAAAAAAATCAACATTCATTGTGAAAGATACCCTCACCCATAACTGAAGAATTGTCAGTAGTGGGTAAAGGCAAGATATTTACAAAATATTTACTGGCATATTTGCATATGCCAGTAGATGAGAGAAGCCAACAGATTTTAGTACTTAATACCCACAAGGGTTGTTGTTGTAAATTTGCCGGTGTAATTTCCCAGCCCGGGCCTTTTCCAAGTGGTGGCCCAGCCTTGGCTCCCTGTTGTGGGAGTGTCTCAGACCAATGTCTGCCATGGGAGGAGGTACAAGTACCTCCTCATCATCTAGGAGCAGCTGTCCCCAGGCCTAGCCCCATTCCCCGCCTCCATGGGGTTCAGAGGGAGAAGCTAGGCACCTTCCCACATCTCCCTGGTATCTTCCAGAAATTTATTTCCCAACTGTTTGTTAGATTGGAAGATGTAGCATACAATCTGAACATTATATATTATGTGGTGCCACAGAAGGTGAGCATGATGCCAGGCTCAGGAAGGTTTACAAGATTTTACAAGAACATAATGTAGTACTAAATAAGAATAAATCAGTGTTGAAAACCAGATCTACTGAATATCTGGGGGTGAGATTTCAGCAGAAGGTATTAAACCTTCTCCTAAGAAGGTTGAGGCTATTGTAAAGTTACCATCCCCCTAAGTCCTTAGGATAGCTCAGTCCTTTGTGGGAATGGTGACATTTTACTGTAAATTTACTAATAACTCCTCTTTAATTTTGGCATCACTGGATAAGTTATTGAATAAAAAAAGAGTCTTCAATGGAAAAGGCTGTTCAAAGTATTAAAGAAGACTTAGTGTTTATCCTTGTTGACTAATTTTACACGAGAGAATTCATTAATAATTGAGGTTGGTGCTTCCTCTGTAACTGTTGGATGTGTGTTAATCCAGAAAGTCAATGGCCAGGAAAAACCTGTATAATTTGCTAATAAGAAACTTTCTTGAGCAGAACAAAATTATTCTCAACTTGACAAAGAAGGTTTAGCCTTAGTGTTTTCTGTTAAGAAATTCAGATAGTTATTGCTAGGGAGAAAGTCTGTTGTTCAAACAGATCATAAACCATTGCTGGGTTTATTTGGGAAAGGAAAACGTCTGAGTAAATGCAAATGACAGAATTCAGCATTGGGCTTTGTTGTTAGCTCAGTATTATGAATTTTTATTCAAAGCTGGCAAGGAAAATGTCATTGCAGATGCTGTAGGTAGATTACCTGTTGAAGGTCATGATTTAGTCAGGTACACCTATGGAATATGCAAGATTAGTAGTCTTTGGATTTCCAAGATATCTCATCTGAGAATATCAAAGAGCAAACTGGGAAAGATGTTATTATCCCAAATGGCAAATAATGTTAAATATGAATGGTGTAAGAATAGTGTAACTTTATCTGATTATTCTTATCTCAAATCAGAGCTACATGATGATGTATTATTGTACAGGAATTGAGTGGTAGTGCCAGTAGAATTAAGATGCAAGATATTAGAGCATTTACATGTTGGACATGATGCTATCAATGTTATGAAAGCAGAAGCAAGTGCATCTGGTGGCCAAACACTGACCAAGATATTGCAGAACTGACCAAGAATTCTCTGATCTGTTTTAAGAATTTTCGGCCAATTTCATCTCCCATACTATCCTGGCCAAGAATGGGAAAACCACGGTCTAGAGTGCATATAAACTATGCAGGTCCAGTGAAGGGCAAATATTTTTAGTAACTGTGGATTCATTTTAAAAATTCTTAGATGTTCAAGTAACTAGTTCCGTGACATCCACAGTCACTGTTGAGTTGCCGAGGAAATCCTCTTGTAATTTTGGGTTACCAGACATAATTGTCAGATAATGGTGCATACTCTATCTTAAGAGCTGGAAGATTAAGAGAGAGAAGCCTTCTTCATTAATAATAGTACTGAACATGTTACTCCAGCCCCATACCATCCATCATCAAATGGTCTGGCAGAGGGGGCAGTAAGGACATTGAAGGAAGGTTTGCACAAATTTACAAAAGGATCTCGCAATATCAGACATATAGGTTCTTGTATAACCACAGAAAAACTGGTCATTCCTCCACCATTAAGATGCCAGCAGAAATTATATCTAATAGGAATTGCAAACACCAATTCCAACAGTACCAGAAGCTTTAAGGAGTGGATTGGCAATTCCTGGCCAGTATAAAAACGGCACCTTTTTGGTCAGAGGAAAATTTTTTATTATAACAATCAAAAGGAAGCACTAAACCACAAGGGCTATACAGCACTGCGGTCAGAGGAAAAGCCTATTATAGATAATAGTGGTAATAAACTTGAGGATCAGGTCAGTATAGAGGAAGACCTTCCAGGGAGGTTTGATAATGACAACAACAGTGTGACAGGAGACTTTGCACCTCATGACAGCCAAACCTCCATATGTTAGGCGTTTCAGAAGAGTGGTCAAACCTCCAGATAGGTTGGATTTATAAGTTAGTTTAATGAGCTAATCATTGTATTGATGTGATACAACCCATTTTGATAATTGTATAATGTGATTTAGAAGGGGAGGAATGTAAGGTGTTGGGAGGAGAGAGAGAATTAAATCTTATGTTATTTTATTTATGTTCAATCATCTTCGGTGTTGTTGTTGTGAATGAAGACTTCAGGAAAGCAGTGTGTTATTGTTACTCTGGCTTCATTACCCTCTACAACTATAATTTCTGTTTATTTTGTTGATTTAACATTATTCTGGGTTAAGACACTCAGACAATTGCCTGTATGAGTCCCTTATATCAAAGGCTCAATATTATCTGCTATGTCTCACCTGGTAATATTATGCCTGACTTTCGTTTGCTTGGTGTCAACGAACCTTTCTCTCTCTCCTCTTCTTCTTCTTCATTATGTTTTGCGAGTATTTTTGGCTTCTGGGATGTCTTCTCTGGGCTATGGAAAATATTTCGCCTATGCGATGCTCTCTCTGGATTTTCGTGGATTTCGACGAGTTTGGATGGTTTTTCTGAATGTCGTGAAGACCTTCGATAGCTGCCACATGCAACTTCAAGTCTGGATGGAATATTAGTTTTGTCAGGTGATTGTGCTACTTTGTTTACTGATTTCCTTTTGCCACCATGAGGACTAACACTGCGAGCCACTGAAGTGACAGACTCATCAGACTTGACTCTTAAAGACCGTGTCTTCTGTATGGGAAAATTTATAGCTTTCTGTCCCGACATCTGAAATACAAGGCTCTTGTTAAATAGTTTATAAACAGGTAAAAGGCAACACACACACATAAAACACTTAAATGACCAAAAAATATGGTACATGTCGAGTCAAAAGAAATGAGCAAAAAATTGCACCCAAAAAAATTTATCCATGGAATATAACAGTGGGTGGAACAAACTTGGAAGGGTGCGGAAAACACCCTCCCGAGCAAGGCCCTTTACAAATTAACAATTCTTAAAACAGAATCCCAAAAGAACACAATTAACTACAATATATGTACATGTACTTCAAATCAAATTAGTTGTCATGGAATAATGAACTTTTAAAACTATGAGCAAAATCCACTGGTTAAACTGTACCTTTAACGGCATTACTTTCAATGCTTACTGTATGTAATATATCCATGCACTGTGTGTACGTTACTATACAGTGGACCCCCGCATAACGCTATTAATCCGTTCCCGAGAGCTCAATGTTATGGAAATTATCGTTATGCGAATTAATTTTCCCCATAAGAAATAATGGAAATCAAATTTATCTGTGCAAGACACCCAAAAGTATGAAAAAAAAAAAATCTACCACATGAAATATTAATTTTAATACACACAAACTTAAGAAAACATGCACAGTTACATGACACTTACCTTTATTGAAGATGTGGTGATGATTGATGGGATGGGAGGAGGGGAGACTGGATGGTTTTAGTGTTTAGAAGGGGAATCCCCTTCCATTAGGACTTGAGGTGTCAAGTCCTTTTCCGGGGTTGCTTCCCTTCTTCTTTTAATGCCACTAGGACCAGCTTCAGAGTCACTGGACTTCTGTCGCACAACATATCTGTCCATAGTGGCCTGTACCTCTCGTTCCTTTATGACTTTCCTAAAGTGTTTCACAACAGTGTCAGTGTAATAGTCACCAGCACGGCTTGCAATAGCTGTCTGAGGGTGATTTTCATTCATGAAGGTTTGCACTTCAAGCCACTTTGCACAGATTTCCTTAATCTTTGAAGTAGGCAACTTCTTCAATTTCTCTCTCCCCTCCTCCGAAGCAATTTCCTCAGGTCTGGCCTCTTGCTGTTGAAGTTGATCTAGCAGCTCATCAGTGGTTAGTTCTTCATTGTCCTCCTCCACCAACTCTTCCACATCCTCCCCACTAACCTCCAACAATAATAAAGGCTTCACTTTGCAATCACCACTAGCATTAGCACACCTCAACAGAGTAAGCCTGTCTTTCATAGGCTTATGTCCTGGGAGTGCCTTTTCCTCCTCAGTAATGTAGGTCCTGCTTGGCATTTTCTTCCAAAACAGGCCTGTTTTGTCGCAATTAAACACTTGTTCAGGTTTCAATTCTTCACTGTCTATGTACTCCTTGAATTCCTGCACATATTTTTCGGTTGCTTTTTGGTCCGAACTGGCAGCCTCACCATGCCTTATCACACTATGTATGCCACTACGCTTCTTAAATCTCTCAAACCAACCTTTGCTGGCCTTAAATTCACTCACATCACCACTAGTTGCAGGCATTTTTCTAATTAAATCCTCGTGCAACTTCCTAGCCTTTTCACTTATGATCGCTTGAGAGATGCTATCGCCTGCTATCTTTTTTTTCGTTTATCCACACCAATAAGAGTCTCTCAACATCTTCAAATCACTTGCGATCTCTTTTTTCGAAAGCACAGTTAAACCTTTCGCAAGAACAGCTTCCTTGATTGCCGTTCTCTTGGACACAATAGAAGCGATGGTTGATTGGGGGTTTTTACTATACAACCTGGCCAGCTGGGAGACACGCACTCCACTTTCATACTCAGCAATGATCCTTTTTTCATCTCCATAGTAATTCTTACCCTTTTTTCTGTAGGGTTGTCACTAAAAGCTTTCTTGGGGCCCATGGTCACTTATTTTTCGGGTGAAATCACTATAAAAAGGCTGTAATAATACGAAATGTTCCGACTGTATGCTTGAATGTTACCGCGGAGGCTGGCTTGTAAACAATGCCACTGGCAGAACAAGTGAGGCTGGCTCAGGCCGCATGGACGTGTCTCGGATGAATCGCGTTGAGCGAATTTTTTAGCACTATGCGAGGCAAAATTTTAGCGATAAAATGTATCGCTATGCGGATTTAACACTATGCGATGCCAACGTTATGCGGGGGTCCACTGTATTAGGTGTATACTAAAATATATTAGTGCATTTTCTTTGTCATTTTTTTTATTTTTTATTATCACACTGGCCGATTCCCACCAAGGCAGGGTGGCCCGAAAAAGAAAAACTTTCACCATCATTCACTCCATCACTGTCTTGCCAGAAGGGTGCTTTACACTACACTTTTTAAACTGCAACATTAACACCCCTCCTTCAGAGTGCAGACACTGTACTTCCCATCTCCAGGACTCAAGTCCTGCCTGCCGGTTTCCCTGAACCCCTTCATAAATGTTACTTTGCTCACACTCCAACAGCACGTCAAGTATTAAAACCATTTGTCTCCATTCACTCCTATCAAACATGCTCACGCAAGCCTGCGGAAAATCCAAGCCCCTCGCACACAAAACCTCCTTTACCCCCTCCCTCCAACCTTCCTAGGCCTACCCCTACCCCGCCTTTCCCTTTCCCCTACAGACTGATACACTCTTGAAGTTATTCTGTTTCGCTCCATTCTCTCCACATGTCCGAACCACCTCAACAACCCTTCCTCACCCTCTGGACAACAGTTTTGGTAATCCCGGGACCTCCTCCTAACTTCCAAAATAAAGAATTCCCCTGCATTATATTCACACCACACATTGCTCTCAACATGACATCTCCACTGCCTCCACCTTCTCTTCGCTGCAACATTCATCACCCATGCTTCACACCCATATAAGAGCTTGGTAAAACTAAACTCTCATACATTCCCCTCTTTGCCTCCAAGGACAAGTTCTTTGTCTCCACAGACTCTAAGTGCACCACCACCCTTTTCCCCTCATCAATTCTTGAATCACCTCACTTTCATGGACCCATCCGCTTGACACTCCACTCCCAAATATTCTGAATACATTCACCTCCCTCCATCGCTCCCCCCAATCTGATATCCAATTTTCAAAAACCCTTTAATCTTTTTGTTAACCTCATAACCTTTTCTCTTCCCTGTATTCACCTTTAATTTTCTTCTTTTGCACACCCTACCAAATTTTATCCACCAATCTCTGCAACTTCTCTTCAGAATCTCCCAAGAGCACAGTGTCATCAGCAAAGAGCAACTGTGAAACTCCCACTTTACGTGTGATTCTTTATCTTTTAACTCCACCCCCTCTTGCCAAGACCCTCGCATTTACTTTCTCTTACAACCCCATCTATAAATATATTAAACAACCACGGTGACATCACACATCCTTGTTTAAGGCCTACTTTTACTGGGAAATAATTTCCCTCTTTCCTACATACTCTAACTTGAGCCTCACTATCCTCATAAAAACTCTTCACTGCTTTCAGTAACCTACCTCCTACACCATACACCTGCAACATCTGCCACATTGCCCCCCTATCCACCCTGTCATATGCCTTTTCCAAATCCATAAATGCCACAAAGACCTCTTTAGCCTTATCTAAATACTGTTCACTTATATGTTTCACTGTAAACACCTGGTCCACACACCCCCTACCTTTCCTAAAGCCTCCTTGTTCATCTGCTATCCTATTCTCAGTCTTACTCTTAATTCTTTCAATAATAACTCTACCATACACTTTGCCAGGTATACTCAACAGACTTATCGCCCTATAATTTTTGCACTCTCTTTTATCCCCTTGGCCTTTATACAAAGGAACTATGCATGCTCTCTGCCAATCCCTAGGTACCTTACCCTCTTCCATACATTTATTAAATAATTGCACCAACCACTCCAAAACTATATCCCCACCTGCTTTTAACATTTCGATCTTTATCCCATCAATCCCGGCTGCCTTACCCCCTTTCATTTTACCTACTGCCTCACGAACTTCCCCCACACTCACAACTGGCTCTTCCTCACTCCTACAAGATGTTGTTCCTCCTTGCCCTATACACGAAATCACAGCTTCCCTATCTTCATCAACATTTAACAATTCCTCAAAATATTCCCTCCATCTTCCCAATACCTCTAACTCTCCATTTAATAACTCTCCTCTCCTATTTTTAACTGACAAATCCATTTGTTCTCTAGGCTTTCTTAACTTGTTAATCTCACTCCAAAACTTTTTCTTATTTTCAACAAAATTTGTTGATAACATCTCACCCACTCTCTCATTTGCTCTCTTTTTACATTGCTTCACCACTCTCTTAACCTCTCTCTTTTTCTCCATATACTCTTCCCTCCTTGCATCACTTCTACTTTGTAAAAACTTCTCATATGCTAACTTTTTCTCCCTTACTACTCTCCTCACATCATCATTCCACCAATCGCTCCTCTTCCCTCCCGCACCCACTTTCCTGTAACCACAAACTTCTGCTGAACACTCTAACACTACATTTTTAAACCTACCCCATACCTCTTCGACCCCATTGCCTATGCTCTCATTAGCCCATCTATCCTCCAATAGCCGTTTATATCTTACCCTAACTGCCTCCTCTTTTAGTTTATAAACCTTCACCTCTCTCTTCCCTGATGCTTCTGTTCTCCTTGTATCCCATCTACCTTTTACTCTCAGTGTAGCTACAACTAGAAAGTGATCTGATATATCTGTGGCCCCTCTATAAACATGTACATCCTGAAGTCTACTCAACAGTCTTTTATCACCAATACATAATCCAACAAACTACTGTCATTTCGCCCTACATCATATCTTGTATACTTATTTATCCTCTTTTTCTTAAAATATGTATTACCTATAACTAAACCCCTTTCTATACAAAGTTCAATCAAAGGGCTCCCATTATCATTTACACCTGGCACCCCAAACTTACCTACCACACCCTCTCTAAAAGTTTCTCCTACTTTAGCATTCAGGTCCCCTACCACAATTACTCTCTCACTTGGTCAAAGGCTCCTATACATTCACTTAACATCTCCCAAAATCTCTCTCTCTCCTCTGCATTCCTCTCTTCTCCAGGTGCATACACGCTTATTATGACCCACTTCTCGCACCCAACCTTTACTTTAATCCACATAATTCTTGAATTTACACATTCATATTCTCTTTTCTCCTTCCATAACTGATCATTCAACATTACTACTACCCCTTCCTTTGCTCTAACTCTCTCAGATACTCCAGATTTAATCCCATTTATTTCCCCCCACCGAAACTCCCCTACCCCCTTCAGCTTTGTTTCGCTTAGGGCCAGGACATCCAACTTCTTTTCATTCATAACATCAGCAATCATCTGTTTCTTGTCATCTGCACTACATCCACACACATTTAAGCATCCCAGTTTTATAAAGTTTTTCTTCTTCTCTTTTTAAGTAAATGTCTACAGGAGAAGGGGTTACTAGCCCATTGCTCCCGGCATTTTAGTCGCCTCATACAACACGCAGGGCTTACGGAGGAAAGATTCTTTCCCACTTCCCCATGGACAATAGAAGAAATAAAGAGGAACAAGAGCTATTTAGAAAAAGGAGAAAAACCTAGATGTATGTATATATATATGCATGTGCGTGTCTGTGAAGTGTGACCAAAGTGTAAGTAGGAGTAGCAAGATATCCCTGTTATCTAGCGTGTTTATGAGACAGAAAAAGAAACCAGCAATCCTACCATCATGCAAAACAGTTACAGTTATTTTTAGCATTCTGATATAATACTCAGAAATTTCCCCATCCCCACCATTAGTTCGTTAATTATAG